AAAAAAAAAGACAATATCATGCTGACTAGATAAAACAGGTTAGCATCAAATGAACAGGGATTTTGAAAGACCTTCAGTGAGCTATGCCTTGGGTTATTTGTTCTACCTACTGAGAAAGCAGAGGAGGGTAATAAAAAGGGTGATTCGTCATCACTGGGGAATGTTAACTAGGTCAGTCACAGAACACAGTAACTGTGCATTTACTTAGAAAACCAAAGTGAGTATCAAAGTCTGAAAGGTAATGCAGAAGGAAGAATCAAAATGACGGGGAAGGGGGAGAGAACAGAGAATCGAAATAAATAAAAGATACAGGCTTAAAATCAAGTCTTGGCAAATATTGCATAGGGCCACTCTTGTAAAATGGGACTGACACCGGGGTTGAGGGAAGACAGAAAAGGAGGGGAGGAATGATGTATACTGCATTGAAACAGATGAGAGAGAGAGAGAGAGATCTGTCTAAAAGGGAAATATGAATGGGTCTTCTTGTCATTACAGAAGTCCCGAGTGAAGGCTGCATATTGGAATCAACTTGCAGGGTGGGACTGCATAACAATGAAAGAGTTTTTTCTTTTACCTTTCAAAGAGAAGAGAAAACTTTCTCTTTTTCTTGTCAAGGAGAAGAGTGAATTGGGGAGGAGGGGTTGGTAGGGAGAAAAGTGCAACAATGAATGACTGGAAGCCCTAAGTCTCTGTAATTTTTTCATTAAAATTAATTTAAAAAACAAAACATCAAGTCCTGCAACAATAGGAGTACAACACAGGGATGAAGGTCAACAAACAGCATTTGCTTATCAAGCTTGTGACAGGAAATGGAATGATTTTCCTTTTAAATCAGAATATTAACTAAAGTCTCAGTGGTAACAATGACACTTTCCCCTTTCTCACGTGAGTCAAATTGAGTTTATAAGAGACTATCTTGGAAAATAAAAGCAACCAGAACAAGTCTTTTAATCCTTTTAAATTTGGTAAATAAAGGTGATCTTAAGATTGTAAATACCTCCTTTCACACTTGTTGTTGTTGTTGTTCCTTTTAAAAATTTTTCAAATAACCAGGCCAGTTCTTCCAAGTTCGCTTGACTTGGGGAGAGTTCAATTAGGATCACAGTTCCAGAGCTGAAGGACGGGATGAATGAAAGACACCAATTATTATTCATTACCCGGCTCACAGGCCATGGTCTTTGCAATCACTTGTTATGCATCAGAGCTGGACAATGACCAAGGAGGATAGAAGGAGAATTGATGCTTTTGAGCTTTGGTGTTGGAGAAGAGTGCTGAAGGTGCCATGGACTGCTAAGAGAACAAACAGATTCATCCTGGAGAGGGTTAAACCAGGCTGCTCCTTGGAGGCAAGGATTCTGAGGCTTCGCCTGACATACTTTGGTCGTGTTTTAAGGAGAGACCGGTCCTTGGAGAGGGACATCATGCTTCGGAGCGTGGAGGGCAGGCACAGGAGGGGAAGGCCCTCTGGGAGATGGATTGATTTGGTGACTGGGGCAATTGGGATGATTGTGTCGGAGGCAATGAGATTGGCACAGGACAAAGCAGAGTTTAGAGCTGTTGTACACAGGGTCGCTATGAGTCGTAAGCGACTTGACGGCACATAACAACAATAACAACCCGGCTCTCAATTGTGTTTCGTTTTGTTTTTCTGGGCCGACATGCCCACTCAGTAAGCTTCACTTCTACAGAGACTGCTCTGTGCCCCATACGGCTGGCATTCAGAGACGTACTAAAATGAGCACACAACAGCACTAAGTTCTTCCAAACGTCTCTTATTCCAGAACCGTTTATCAAAGCCTCTTGAAGGGTTATCCAGAGGAGAGGCAGAACCCCGCACCCCATGAATGAGCACACTCTCCAGACATAAACCCTTCCAAATGTACCGGTGTCTGCAAGAGTGTCCACATCAGCTCACAGCTGGCCTTTACAGCTGATGGAGCAGGAGGTGAGGGTTGCGAGGCAGAAGAGCCAGCAGCTGAGTTGTGTCTAGGAAATTAGAGTTCAGTTTTGATTCAACCATTGAGCTGTGCCTGTAACACTGAGTCATTCGTGTCATCTCTTGGGGGGCTCCCTTTTCTTCATCTCTAGTGTCAGAAAACAGAACTAGACAACCTTGAAATGACTTCCAGGTCAAGGAGTCTATGACAGGAGAACACATTCTTTCCCAGTGAACAGGTGCACAATATAAGATTCAGTTGCAGACAAAAGACCTAATATCCTAAAGCTTATGTGAGCCAAGGAAAGCCCTAAAATAACGATCCATATTCATATACATGATAATCTTCAGAAGATGAAAGAGACAGTCTGCAGAGGAAAAACTAGAAGAGTAGAAACCGAGTGAAAAGTATTCTTTTCTATCCACAAGTTAGGATGTGGGAGCGACATGGGTGCAACATCTGTCACTCCACTGATCACCAGGGTTGATTAAACTGATTTGACCAAGCTTTCACTGCTTCAGGCTGCGTTCCTCCCCAAGCTGCACTCTCAGTTGAAGAAGACAGCCTACCCTGATAAAGGAGGCCCGTCCATTGGTCAAGCGTATAGAATGAGCTGCGTTTCCCTGCTAGAATAAGCTCTTAAGAAACTCTAGAAGAATGTAAAGCATTGACTCCTATTATTTCATGTAGAGGTAGCAGAACTTTTTCTATAAAGAACTCGACAGTACATATCTTGGGGTTTGCAGGCCATTTGCTCTTGGATCCAACAGCCTAAGTTCTCCACGGTCATGTGAAAGCAGCCATTGACAGCTCAAAAATGAATAAGCAGGGCTGGACTACAATGAAACTTTTCTTTTTCTTTCTTTATTACATGCATGGTTGATGTTTTCTTTTTCAGAGAGGAGTTCTAAAGCATCCCACTTAATCAACAAAAGGTAAAGTTTAAAATAGATGATTTCTAAGGATTAATGATAGCATACGTAATGACTGTTGACTCTACAAAATCTTGATTTTAGAGTGTATGATACACCTCGTTGGCAGGAACACCCAGGTTTTCCAAATTAGCCAGAAAACCATTTTTCTCGGGTCTGTAAAGACTTCTTCTCCTTAGCTGCCTTCTGCTTCTGTTGCGTGATCTCAGAATCCCTCCGCTTTCTCTGAGAGGCAGTCAAGCTGTCCTCTTTTCTTTTTCCCTTGCTAACCTCCTGGGCTTTCTTCATGTTTTTCTGGCAGGCAAGTTCTCTCTGATTTCCAAGGGTCCATCCTGACCAATAGGCAGAGCCTGGAAGAGAGAGACTAGGAAAATCAATGATTCCCTGGATTGCTCTGGACACTGACATTTTACTATCACATCATTTTCACATTCCACATAATGTTATTCTTATTTTTCTTTTTTCCCCAACTATTTACTCATGCAAGCGTCCGTACTCAAAATAAGCAGCAGACTCGATTTGGTTTTTTTTTCTGCTAGCTACAGTTTGATGGTGCCTTATTTAGAAGAAAGGCACAAAACCAAGCAATGTATATCAGGGACTGCCTAAAGCCTTTCTCAAAGTAATCATTGCCACAGGGTCAAAAGAGGGAACATGAATGCTCACGGGGTAATGGAAAAGTGAACATTTCAAGTCCTCCCAGAGACACCTTGAAACAAAGTCTGAACTATTCTTCTGAGAAATCAGCCACTGAAAAGCCAGAACTGAGTTCTACTCCAATACACTCACAGGGTCACCGTGAACCAGAAGTGACACAGCAGGAAGAGGATGAAGATGGAGAGAATGACTTCTCGAGAAAAAGCTCTGAGGCCAGGGGCCAAACTTCACCTTTGCCTGCTAGGACAGCTGAGGTCGTGCGTGTGTGTATCTACCAACATCTATATGTAAGTGTGTGTATCTGTCAATACACAGACACAACTCTAAAATAGTCATGAATACTGTCATCATCACCATCAAGACTCTAAGGATTTACTTAGTTAGAATTATACTTTGAATGGTGGAGTTGGAACTGGACCCCAAGAGCCCCAGCTCTAGAGTCTAAATCCTTCACCACAACATCACACTGTTTCCAGCAGACATGAGCGTGTCACCTCCACCCAGTCTGGCCATAGATGCAGAAACAGATCACTAGACACTGGGTAGATTTTCTCACACGACTGTTTAAGATTCATTATCCTCATTATGCATTCACAGATGAGCTGTTCGGTCCTATGTGAAATCTGATAATAATAAACATCCCAAATCTGTTCTCCTCAATTAATGTAATTAAATGTATGTTCACTCAAGGATGCCATTCTGTTAGTAAGAGGTTATGTAAAAGGACTAGCCGGTTCCCTGACCCAACATAACTCCCTATTTTTTTTAAACATTGGATTCTTCTCTACTATTCATTACTTTCCTCATTCCTCTTTTTTTCCTCTCTCTCTCTCTTTCACTGACACAAACATCAGCTATGTTTTATTTCTTGTAGAACTGTTTTCCTGTGCAGCCCTGGAATATACAGGCTTTCTATGCGGCATATTTTTAGAACGTGGAGTCCCTTAGCTGCCAACCTCAATAGTTCAAATAGCAACACTTTCCAATTCCAGTCATCATGTACTAACAAATCAGGTTCAAAAACTGTCAGTGAATAAATAAAAGAGAGGCTTCTGTGTGGTGTCCATTTCTTTCGCTGGCCTATTTTGAGGACTATGAAAGAGACATACACAGCTAAAGGTTAGGGGGTGTGTGGATGGATCCCAGGTAACCGAGGAAGAACAGCAGCACCTGGAATTGACTGTTTCTCCTTGGCCTCTGCTTTCTTTTCTTCTTGATAAAGGATCCTCAATTTCACTGAGTTCTCTATGGGCCATACGCTGTAACAGAGGCTGAGGACTGAAGGGAGAGATGAATCTTGACCAGCCTTCCTCTATGACCTGGGATTCCTGCAATAAGTGTCTTCCCTTTCCCAACCATGTATCTTATAAAAGGATATGTTTTCTTCAGGTGCTTCAAACAACACATCTTAACTAAGTGAAAACAATGTTAATATGAGAATACATTTGTGTTCTATCAAGCCAGACATCAAAGGAACATATGGAAAAGTGAAACAACACTACTCCTTTCATTAACTTGTTTGGATTTTAATAATGACTCTTTTACATTACAGATATTAGGTAGCAAAGTGTGTAACTATGTGTAGGTGATGTATCAGTATGCTAACCACACATTGGGATCTTGAAGCCCCCAGTTGGTCCTGGGGAGAACCAAAAGTCTCCTCTCAGAGCTTCGAACACCAACAGAGTCACTATGAGCTGAAGCCAACTCGGTGGCAATGGATTTGCTTTTATTTTTTAAACTATCAGATTTAATTTCTAATAAATGAATATCAATAGATGCAACACATAAACAAAGACTTTTTGGAGAGTCTTTTGTTTTTAAGAGCATACAGGATAAGTGAATTCAAAATCTGACTGTATTCATTCATGTCTCTGACCAGGGATAGGTTTTAGCAATAGCAATTCTGGCCGAAGAGGAGGGTGATCTCTGAGGGTTTCGGGAAGGTTTACTTTGATCTTTTGAAAGAAAGGGATTTGTGAGAAGAAACTTGGCTTAGTAGTGTATCTCACTGCTGGAAACTGGCACCCCTCACTGCTGGGACCCTGACGCCCCTCACTGCTCTGACACTGTCACCCCTCACTGCTAGGACCCTGGTGCCTTCACTACAGGGACAATTGTGCCCTCACTGCTGGGACACTGGCATGGCTCACTGCCGGGACACTGGTGCCCTCACTGCTGGGAGTTTCTCCTCTTTTCACCTGTAGCTGTAGCTCTCTTTAACACAATAGCCAACTTGAATGACCAAGCCCAGCTGCTAAGAACAGCAGAAGATGAGATCAGTGAGTCCTGAACTAACCAACCTATTGTTTATGAGAAAATATTCTTCATTATTTCAGACACTGCTGAACTGGTTTTCTGTTACTTAAAAGAGAAAGATTTTTACTGGTTTACCTTTGGTATTTTTGTTTTCTTTTTGCCAAACATGAAAGAGTTAAGACTCAAACTAACAAAATGCAGCACTGATCATTATCTCTGATGGCTGTGTTTGTTCATTCCTAAATCCCAGTTGCATTTATCCGCATGCTGTGCTATCCATGAAAGCATCAAGGCTCATCAGTTCAGATCATCACACTTCTGAATAGGATACTTTACTCTGCTCACCAATTTCCTTCCTTCAGGCTTGCTGTTGAGTTGATTATAATTCACAGCAATACTATAGGACAGCACAGAACTGCCCTCCCATGGCCTCCAAGGCTGCCAGTATTTACAGAAACAGACTGCTACATCTTTCTCCCAGGGAGCAGATAGATGGTGGGATTGAACCATTGACCTTTAACTTCATTCCCTGCAATTGTTTGCTGTTGTTGTTATGTGACGCCGAGTCACTTGTGACTCACAGAGACCCTATGTACAACAGCTCTGAACCCTGCTTTATCCTGTGCCAACCTTATTGTCTCTGACACACCTACCTGCATTATTACTGGGCACTGAGTCAATCCATCCCATCCAGGGTCTTCCTCTCTTGCACTGTCCCTACACCCTCCCAAACATGATGTCTTTCAACATGGCCAAAATATGACAGAGGAAGCTTCAGAATCCTTGCCTCCAGGGGAGTTCTGGTGGCCTAGTGGCAAGGAGCTGCAACTACAATCCCAGAGGCGCACGGTTCGAATCCACCAGATGCTCTGCCGAGTAAGGAGGGACAATATCCTCCTGTACCAGTCAGATCTGATTTGACGGTACACGCACACAAAAATAATAAAATAAAATAAAAAAACCACAGAATCCTTGCCTCCAAAGAGCAGCCTGGTTTCACCCTCTCTATGGACTTTTTAAAACAAAATAAAAACAAACCAAAAGAAAAATGCATTGCCATCAAGTTAGAACCAACTCATAGCTGACCCTCCAGGAGGTTTTCAGAGGCTCGGAATCACACAAGAGGACACTGTCCATCTTTCCCCCTTGGAGAAGCTGGGACGTTTGAAATGCCTGCCTTTCAGTTGGCAAGTTCAACTCTTTACCCACAAGGCCCCCAGAGCTCACTATTACTTAAAAAGCACCACAAACTTATCATCACTCCTGGGAGTGAAAGGCGGCCTGCAATCCCATGTGAATAAAGCAGCAGTACTTCTCCTCACTGCTCTCCTCCTAGGCAGCTCTGGGGGCCTGGAGGTGAGAAGCTGTCTGCAATCCCCAAGGCACAAGGTTCCAACGTACCAGCTACTCCACGGGAGAAAGATGGGCAACCTCTTTCTGTGAGACTTCCTGCGCCCCCAAACCTGCTGAAGGGTCAGCTACAGGGCAGTTCTGACTGGAAGTACACACCAACAACAATAACCACTCCCTACACAGACAAGGCTGCATGCTCTGAAAGTCATCCAAAACGTGAAAAGAAAGCAAAGTACTCCATTACTCTAATACCTCTCTTTACAGATAGGGAAATCGAAGCTAGAGAAGAACGTTGGATGTCCAGCTCACGCTTGTTAGGAAAAGTGCCTTGAGAGTCAAGCACGTTCATCATGTCAGCACGATAGCACCATAAGAACACATGTAATCGACTGTGAGACTCAGAGACTCTAGTAATCTATAAAGAGCAAATTCTGTTCTTAAGTAACATTGTGTATAAACATAACATAAACACATTATGTTTTCCATATCAGAACACAAAAAAATATCTTTTTCACTACTCTGTCTTTATTACAAATAGTTTTAAAAATTTTCTTTAACTCAAAATTCTTGCTCATGGTTTTTCCTACAATGTACAAGACAATCATATTTAATACGTGCTTCATTTCTCTTAGAAATGTTAGGGTACTAATTGTGGCACTACACCTAATCTCCTTACATACAGTCTGCCCATGAGTACATTTAAACTCACGTTTCTTAACATATTCTTTCTCTTTCTCTCTCTCTCCCCTATCCCTATCCCTATCCCTCCCTCCCTCCCTCCCTCCCCTCTCCCTCTCCCTCCCTCTTTCTCCTTTCCTCTTTTTCTCTACTCTCTTCTCTCTCTCTCCCTCTCCCCTCTCTTTCTCTCTCCCTGTCTCTCCCCCTCCCCTCTCTTTCTTTCTCTCTCTTTGCTGTTGAATTGGGATCAACTCCTGGCTAAACCAGCAGTAGTTTTCTAGGCTGTAAATGGCACAGATTTCCCTGTCCCGGGTACTCATAGGTGCCTTCAAACCACCACAAAAGGAGGACCATTGAGTTAGCAGTTCACCTCCCATCAGAGTTCCCTAAACATCCATACTGATTTATGTGAAGAAGAGAGAAGGTCACTAGTAGTAAAGAAAGAGAATGGTGAGTAGCCCCAAGCCTCAACATCACGGGGAAAGTGACGGACAGTCTAAATTATCTTAACTTCACACTCAAAGTTCACATCCTAGAGAGGATATTGGTCGTGAGTCCTCTGCCTTTTGGCGAGGGAGTCTTCATCACTGATGCCAGCCATGAGGTACTTGAGGCCTGTGATCCAGGTGCGGGCCTCCTCGGGATTGGAGGTGATGAGGTCCAGGGACTCCATGTGGTTGCCATGGTAGATGGTGAAGCAGCAGCTGGGGTCAAAGTTCCCCTCGGCTTGCCGGTGGAATATTTCCGACTGCCGACCCTCAGTGACTTTGTAAATGGAATCGATAATTACTGCGAGGGAAGCAAAATACAAAATTACATGGCCGGCGATGATATCTGCACAGCTTAGGGGAAAGAAAAAGCAAAAAATACCTTTAAAAGAAAAAAAAAAAAAGATGCATGAAGAAATTCGTCATCTGCAAGTCATGGTTTTAAATTCAAATGTAAAACATAAGTCCGATCGTTTAGTGCCGGCATCCAGCTGCTCATAGCACCTGACCTGCCCGGGCAGTCTTGACATGTCCGGCCAGATTTCCAAGCAGGATGTGGTGCAATTTAAGGACAAACCAGAACTCTGCCTACCAGGACAAGCAATAGGGAGAAGACATGTCTCATTTATTGTTGACATAGTGATGGAGGAAAAACACTGAAATATCAGGAGCAGACTTTCACATTTCAGTGTGGCTTTCTGGCCTGATTTTTTGATGAGCTTGCAAACTCAAGCTCGTTGCCAGGTGGGGCAGACTCACAGGTGACCCTCCGTGGGCTGTTGGAGGCTGTAAATTGCACAGGCAGAGACTGCCCATCTTTCTCCCATGGAGCTGCTGGGGGATTCGATCCACCGGAGAGGCCTGGCCTTCGTTTTAGCAGTGGAGCTCCCTCCAGGCTCTCCCACCGATACGGATGCTGCCGAGGACCTCTACTTAAAGGCAGCAGGGGTCGTAAGTGGGCCAAACGTAAAAGGGAAGGAACTCAATCATTCTGGAAACAGTTGTGCAAATAAGAGTGGAGAAGGACGCTGTTTAATAAAGGGAGAAAGCAAATAGGTTTGATTTGTCCAGTTTAAAGATTATACAAATTTATTGCCATGGTGACTCCAACAATGGGCTTGAACATGGCAGAAATTGTGAAGACGTGGCGGGATAGGGCGAAGGTCTGAGCTATTGTTCATACACTCTATGTTCATATGACAATAGCTATTAATGACATTACTGGGATTCCATAGATCAAGGTTAAGTGAGCATTCAACGTCACCACTTATCCTATGTGTTTTCACACATCATCTAAGACGTCTTTCCAAATATGGATACTGAAGTTTAAAACAAATGTACATTCCACTATGCAACCTTAATTGTGGACTCTTGTGATAACCATAATACCCTATCATACATCGCTTTTAAATTATTCACTTCCTCATCTGTTTCGGTGCAGTATACACAATTTACCCAGTACTTGGGGTGGTGGGAGGGGTGCGGGGGGATTGCGTACCAGGGAGGAAGTCTTTCTTTTACTTTTGAAAGAGAGGAGCGAACTGGGGGGTGCGGGGAGAGGGCTGGGCAGGGAGAGAAGTCCAGCAATGAAGGAATGGAAATCCAAATTCTCTGTAAATGTTCATTAAAATTATTTTTTAAAAAAACAAACCAAATGCATTTTAGGAAACCAAACCCATGGAATTTTCTAATAGGGACAGGAAATCCCTATAAGGCCAGGAGAAAATAATCCTCAAAAATGGAAAAATTGTGTGGAGCCCTAGATTTAAATGCCAGCTGTGCCATTCCTTATTCTCAGGGCAAGCTGCACAAAACTTGTGAGTTCCACGGTCAAAGTAGGCCAGCTAGATTCCAGCTGCCTTGCCTGAGTTACAGAACAAAAAGAGAAAGAACAATTCAGTGCAACAGTAGCTGGAAGAAGCCCAAGGTAGAAGAGGCAGAATTACACTGAAATTATTATTGTTGTTGTTGTTATGTGCCGTCGAGTTGCCTGCGACTCATAGCGACCCTATGTACAACAGCCCTAAACTCCGCTCTGTCCTGTGCCAATCGCACTGTCTCTGACACACCCATCCCAATTATCCCAGTCACTGAATCAGTCCACCTCATAGAGGGCCTTCCTCTCCTGCGCTGTCCCTCCACCCTCCCAAGCATGATGTCCTGCTCCAAGGACCGGTCTCTCCTCACAACATGTCCAAAGTATGTTAGACGGAGCCTCAGAATCCTTGCCTCCAAGGAGCCACCCAGTTTAACCCTTTCCAGGACAAATCTGTTTGTTTTCCTAGCAGTCCATGGTATTCTCAATACTCTTCTCCAGCACCACAGCTCAAAGCTGAAAATTATTAGGCAATAGAAATTATGTGTAAGCTTGAACCATGTGGCAGACGCTAAGAAGTTGTTTGTGGTGCTATTATGTACCATCAAGTTGGAACCAACTCATAGCTGACCCTCCAGTGGGTTTTCAGAGACTGTAAATCACACAGGAGGGGAGTGTCCATCTTTGTCCTATGAAACAGCTGGTGGATTAGAACTGCCTGCCTTTGAGTTGGCAGCACAAGACCAAGAACAAGTCAGAGTTCACAGCTAGTGAACTGTAAACTTTAGATTTAAATCCAAGCTACTTTCTGGTTACTGAGATCACAGTCTCAATCCAAACGTATATGTACAAGTGCAGTCTCTGGAGCTGACTCTATATTGAATTCCCTCTGCTACTACAAATAGAGAGCTACGTTGGCCTAGTGGAAAGGAAGTTATGCTACCAAGCCGAAGGTGGGTGATTTTCATCTGCGGCCCTCGGCCCAGGTTCAAATTGTCTTCCTGTCAAACATTCTTCTAGGTGGTATAGCACTGGTCTGTGCGTTGCTGTACAGAAGTAACTCGTGGTTGCTGTGATGCTGAAGCCTGTGACAGTGATGTGTCAATCGTGGTAACGGGTACCCATGGTGGACAGTGTTGGCTGGAGCTTCCCGACTAAAACAAGCCTGGAAACAGGAGCGGCATCCACTTCCGAAATGGCTTGTCTCCAGAAACTCTATGTATGAACAGTGCTCAGGCCGTTGGTTCATAGGGTCACTGTGAGTCGTCTACGACTCGACGGCACCAAACAACAACAACCTCTTACTCGAGGTGTATGGTCTACACACTTTTTTGACAAAGCTAAACCTCAATTTCTTCATCTGTAAAGTTGAGAATCATACCACAAAGGGTATCTAACAGATGGTTGTTGTTGTGTTGTTGTTATGTGACATAACGTCAATCAAGTAGAAGTCATAGTGACTCCAAGACCAATTCTTCCCTGTCCTGAGCCAGCCTCACCATCTCCAACACTCCTGTCCTCACTGGTTTGATCTGGAAGAAGCCAGGTGTTCTCTGTAGGCAAGCCTGGTGAAACTCCACCTCACATACTGCAGGCATGTTGTCAGGAGGGGCCAGTGCTTGGAGAAGGGCGTCATGCTTGGAAGGTAGAAAATCAGCATAATGAGGAGGCCCCTGGATGAGATGGATTGACACAGTACCTGTGGCAATGGGGTCAGGTATGCTGTAGATGGATGGGTGGCAGACTGTAATAAATGAACTCGGGCACATATCTTTATGTTATATGGAAAGATGTCATGCTATATCCAGTGTCACAGAGTGAACCCTGACTCCCTAGCACCCTAGAAGACAGAGGAGGAGTGCTCCATGGGGTTTCCTGCAGTCAGGAGGTCAGGAGACATAATGCTTTGGGCAAGTTCACTGTCAGGGGACCTCTCCAAAGTACTCAAGAGCAATGATAGCTGGGTTAGTCAGTTTGAAGACTAAGGTGTGCCTGACTCAGGCCATGGTCTTTTCAATCATGTGCTATGCATCTGAGAGCTGGGCCATGAATCAGAACGACAGGGGAAGAACTGATGCCATTGAGCTGTGGTGTTGGAGGAGAGCACTGAATATCCCACGGATGGCCAAGGGAGTGAAGAGGTATGTCTTGGAAAAAGTGCAGTCAGAGTGCTCACTGGAGTCAACGACGGGGAAGCTTTGTCTCTCATATGTGGGAGACGTTGCCAGGAGAGGTTGGCTATTCCTTGGAGAGGGAAGTCATGCTTGGAACGGCAGAGAGAGTCAATGAAAGATAAGAAGATAGCCAATGAGATGGATTGGCACTGGGCCTGCTGGAACAGGCTTGCGTGTGTCAGAGATTGTGAGGATGGCACAGGATAGGACAGGATTCAGATCTGTTGTTCACAGAGTCACTATGATCTGTCCTCAACTTGATGGAGCCTAACAACAACAGTAACAATAATATTTAGGGGAGCAGATATAGGTCTTTCTTTTGTAGAGTTACTGGGTAGGTTCACCTACTAAATTTTGGTTAACAGTTGAGCATTTAACCATTGCGTCACCAGGACTGCTGGGGGGAAAACTACCACAATCTAATAATTATTACAACTGTCATATACTCAGTTGCAAATAGTATAAGTACTATGTGTAAGTTGTAAGAGTCCTCTGGCACAGAACATATGAAGCTTTCAGAGACAGTAACTATTATTATTTGGAAACCGTTTATGTCCTTGTCATTTTTCCTCTGCCCTTGGCAAGTTGATGTTAGTTGTCATGGGGCGTCAACCTGACTCATAACTACCCCCATGTACACAGTAGAACTGTGCCCCAGAGGTTTCCAAGCTGTGCACGTTAGAAAGCTGGTCACCAAGCCCATCTCCTGAGTTGCTTTGGGAATGTTTGAACCTTCTACCTTTTAGGAGTCAAGTGCTTTGAAACAAATCCCCTCAAAATGCCAATTTGTATGATTTGACACCATCCCTGGTAACAAGTCAGGACTACAGTCAATGAAATCAGCGTTTTCAAGCTAACTAAATATTAATCGCATATCTACTAAACGAATATAAAATATAGTAAAGCCTAAGGAAGGTGGGAGGAGAGAGATTTTTAAGACTTAATTACTCCATTAAAGTTAGAATAGAAATGTGGACAAAAAGATGGAAATTTTAAAGGGGGAAAAGTGGCAACTGAACGTCACAGCAGACATTGATTGCTCCTCACAGAGGAGTTAATACAGTGCTGCGATGGTGAGGGTACCACAGGTCTTAGAGATGGTAAAGGCAACAGGCAGGCATCCCAGGGGATGAAGGATAAAGTCAAAGAAACATGGGGCACACTGCTGGTCATTTGTGCTGGGCTGGAGAGCTCGTGGAGAATAACAAGAAAAGGTTAGACAGACAAGAAATTAGTAGTGTTTGGTTACAGACTAGCCCTAATTGCTTTGGTCAAGGAAGTCACTGTACTTTATGGCTGTTTGGTCTACCAAGCTCATTCTGACTCACAGCAACTCCGTCTACAACAATCGAAACCATGTCCAATCAGCACCCTCTCCACAATTGTTCTGTGTTTACACCTGATGTTTTAGTCACTGTTTCAGCCCATCTCCTTGAAGGTCCTCCTGTCCCTCGCTAATCCTCTGTTTCTCAAACTATGATGTCTATTTCCAGGGATGGTTCCTCCTCATAATATGCCCAAAATGTGGGATGAAGTTTCACCGCCCTGGCGCCTGCAATTCAGAAGTGTTAAACACATTATTGATTATCACCATCAACTCTTTCCTTTCGCCCTTAAGACAGAACCTTCATTTTTTTCCTAATATCAACTAAACCTCCCATGACTCATACAGAAATGACTACACATAGCCCCAGGGCAAGTTTTGATGAGTCTAGGCCTATTGTCGTAACTTGGTACCTTTTTGGCTAAAACTGATTTAAGAGTGAGAATACAATCCAATCCAAACACAAAAAGAAGAGGCCATCCATCGTGAGTATGGATGATAGAAGGCTCTAGAAGAGTGTTCTTCTCCCCTAAAAGAGAAACACTAAAAAAGATGGAAACCTTCTCCCACTTCCCTGCCATGTTGATCTATGAAATCTGGAACAGATAAAGCTGCAACACAAAGCAGGGAAGAGCTAGAGAATCATAAGAAAACAGCTGGAGCTACTGTTGACTCTTGAGGTATGCCTGTCCAGTTTCTTAAAATATGAAGTAATAAATTTGATTGGTTTTGGTCATTCTTCTAAGTGTTATAGACCTGGTCTGTCTACTTGATGTACAGAGGTAACTCATGGTTGCTGTAATGCTGAAGACTGTGACACTAATTTGTCAAATGTGATAATGGTTACCCATGGTAGACAGAGTTTGGTGGAGCTCCCATTTAAAGCAAGCTTAGAAGCAGAGGTGGCATCCACTTCTGAAATAGCTTGCCTGGGGAAACTCTATGAACTTGGAGAAATGACTAAAATTATACAAGTAAGTGTTCAGGTCTTTCAACAACAACACATTTGATCATGGAAGTCTTCATTTCCTAAGTCTTCTGTTGAAGCGGAAAGCATCTAAATAAACAAAGGCAGAGAATCACTACGAGTGATGAGAAGCCTGGCCAGGAAACATTACAGTAGACTACCCCAAGATGAACGGACTCTGAGTTGTTCAGCTTACCAGGAAAACAGGAAGAGCAGAAACATTTCAGAAGACAACACAACCATAACATGTCTCGTATAAATGGGGTCAGAGAGAAAATACTGGGCTAGGACTTGAAGAAAAGATATTTTAGTGGACAACATCAAAATAGCTTTTTAAAATTCATTAATCATTTAACTTGGACATGTTACAAGGAGGAACCAGTCCTTGGAAAGGGACATCATGCTTGGAGGGTGGAGGGACAGCACAGGAGAAGACCCTCAATGAGATGGATTGATTCAGTGACTGGGGTAATCGGGATGGGTGTGTCAGAGACAGTGCGATTGGCACAGGATAGAGCAGAGTTTAGGGCTGTTGTACATAGGGTCGCTATCAGTCACAGGGGACTCGACAGTACATAACAACAACAACAACGACAACAACAACAACCAGTTAACTATACCCAAGATAGGACATACATTTTAAAAGATAGGACATACATTTTAAAGTCCAGATACTTTATTATTTTCTTCTTTATATTTTACAGGGAACTAAAAAGCATTATACTATAAAATAGCTTATTCTAACTAAAATAGATGACAAAATATTAGTGTGTTCACCATTGCTAGATAAGGGGGGAAAATCTGTAGAGTTACATTTTCTCTAAAATTTTAAAAAGTAAAAACCGTCATCACTTATACTGTCCCTATCGACTCTAAAATTTCCAAAAATACAGAGAACCTGAAATTTCTACAGATCTCACCCAAAGCAACCGTTCCTGTGGTGCTGCGTCTACTGAGACTAAGACTTAAGAAGGTGCGTTACTTTTTGCCTTCTCGCTCTTCCTGGAGGGGCGCCACCGGAGACGCGTGCGGTGCTCATCCAGGTAAAAGAGGCGAACGAGTCCTTTGGTGCCGCGCTTCAGCTTGATCATCTGTGTCCCGGACTGCATCACACTCATGCATCTTTCAACTGCAAGAGAGATCAGAACACGCTCAGCCACTGCACAGTCCACAGGGTTAGTGTCTAGACCCTCCCTTCTCTTCAGGTAAAACCTCTTTTCAGTCTATCACTATTCTCCACCAGCCTCCAACAGAGCCAGAAGGGAGAAAATGTGCAACAACGAATAAATAGAAATCCATGAGCAACAATGAATAAATAGAAATCCATGTGCAACAATGAATAAATGGAAATCCAAGTTCTTTATAAACTTTCATTAAAATTGCAATTTAAAAAAACCAACCAAAACCCCTACAGATAAACTTCATGTCTGCCAAAAATAAATTTTAAAAAATTCTTAAAAAACTGGTATAGGATCTCTGGGGGGAAAAGAATAAAAGAAATGAATCTTTACATTATGACAGTAAAAAGCTTCAGTAATAGATAAAATTCTATTTCAAGGTAAACAACACATTAGCACCGTGTAGAACTATCCTTTGTTTTAACGGGTACCATATTGTTTCCTAGTAAGAATGATGATCATTTGATATTTGGGGTTATGTTCATAAAGCAAGATTTCAGACACCGTGTGAAGCTGAGAGAATATATAGCCAATTGCATAAACATCTAAGTATAATGCTTTCCAATAAAGACAGAAGTAAGATTAGCAAAATGTTGACAAGCTGGATACTGGTTCAATGTAGGCTTATATAATTGTATTTTTGCATATATCTGAAACTTGTTTTTAACATTTTTATGTAATCAGAAAAATTTACATTTTAAAAACTAAATAAAAACATTTAATGATGAAGTGGGATCTTCCATCTAAGGAATAATTTGGAAACTAAATGTGGGTAGTATTCAAATCCTTTATGGTCCAAGGCAAAGTCATCCACTATTCACATATGCTTTGCTCTGAGATGAAGCTTGCTGAAAGTAGGCATCTGTTAGGTTTGCGCTTTCTTTCTTGTTTTGGTCATGAAACCACTCTTCTCTCACTTTCTGTGCCCTTGGTAAAAATGTCAATCAGTCCATACAATGTGTCTTATAAAATCAATCACCATTGATCTGTGATCCACCATTACTTCCTCTTTTCAGATCCCCACCCATAAACCCATTGCTGTCAATTGCAACAATGCAGGACAGAGTAGAACTGGTCAGAAGGCTTCCCAAGGCTGTAATCGTTGCCTTGTGTTTCTCCTCCAGAGCAACTGGCAGGATCAAATGCAATGCTCTGGTTAGCAGTCACACCAACCTGCAGTACCATCAAACCCAAACCCAGCCCACTGCTGCCCACTCAGTCTCTCCACCAGGTTTCCAAGGCTCTTTATGGGAGCAGACTGTTACTCAAGTCCCTCACCTCAGCTGGTGGCCAGGCACATTAAGTCCACCACAGGGTGCCTGCACTCTATCAGCAGGGCCCCTCAGATGGAAACAGCTGAACTATTTCAAGGTGGAGATGGGTGATTTCAGGTTCTCCACCCCAAGAGGCCTCTTTCTAACTTTCTAACAAGTTGTACAGTATCTTTCCAAATACACCAGTAGTCAGAGAATGTAGACAAGAGAGTATTGATTGACGGTGAATAAAGGAAAGACCAAAATGCCAGTCCATGAGCGTCTTGTCGATTCTAATTCACAGCTACTCTGTTGGGCTGAGTAGAACTGTCTCCTGCGCCCAAGGCTGTGTGTCAACAGGAGCAGACCTCCACATCCTGTCGTGGGTTTCAACCTAAGACTTAAGTCATGTGCCACCAGGATTCCTCCAATACATCCACCAGAAGTTATATAAATGTCAGTGACCATTGAGGAAGGGTCACAGCAACAAGAAAGCAGAGGTTTACAGAACAATTCCATGTTCCGAACACAGGATTCTACTTAGGATAGACAGGGCAAAGACCGAGAACACTTCAGCCTTAAGAAATTTTAAGGGAACAAAACTCCTAAGAAGTAAATTTATTAATACTAGCTTAGAGTTATTCAGGATACAGAGCTAGATAATCTAAGACAGATCCAAGATCTAGTCATACAGTTAGGACCCCATGCAAGTATATTTAACCCCTCTGTATGAACTTTGAAAAATGTCGAGAGTCATAGAGGGGCTTCAGGCTTTTTGTTCGTAGGGTCGCTACGAGCTGTGCTCAACTCGAAGGCAATCAACCACCACCACCACTGTTTAGCTACAAAATGTGAAAATAGCATTTACTTAAATTGTGAGAACTAAATGAGTTCATTTGCTTAAAGTACTGAAAAAAGTACTTGCTATATAAAAAACACTATACCAAAACCCAAATCCATTGCTAGCAAGTTAATTCCAACTCACAGAAATCCTACAGGACAGCATACAATTGCGCCACAGGATTTAAGGACGGAATCTTTATACAAGCAGATTGTCACATCTTTTTACCCCATAGTGTAGCTGTTGGATTCAAACTGCCAACCTATTGTGTAGTATACAAGAATTTCACCACTGCTGCACCATTATCATTATGATTTCTAATAAACTATATAGAAATGGTATGTGTCAGAGAGCTGGACAATGACTAGGGAGGATAGAAGGAGAATTGATGCCTTTGAGCTGTGGTGCTGGAGAAGAGTATTGAACATACCATGGACTGCTAAGAAAATGAACAGGTTCATCCTGGAGAGGGTGAAGCCGGGCTGCTCCTTGGAGGCAAGGATTCCAGGGATTCGTCTGACATACTGTGGACATGTTGCAAAGAGGGACCAGTCCTTGGAGACGGACATCATGCTTGGATGGGTGGAGGGACAGTGCAGGAGAGGAAGACCCTCTATGAGGTGGATTGATTCAGTGACTGGGGTAATGGGGGTAGGGGTGTCGGAGACAGTGAGGTTGGAACAGGACAGAGCAGGGTTTAGGGCTGCTATAAGTCACAGGTGACCCGACAGCACGTAACAACAATAATAACATATAGAAATGGTAGCTAATATTATGGCCTTGTTATTATTTAAATATTTTTAAAACACCAAATCAGAAGAAAGACTAATATGCTAATAGGGATCCATAGAGAACAAAGAGAATAAAATAATAAGACCTGGGGCAAGAAGAATCTGAGGTACAATCACAGGATAGGGGAAAGACTGACTTTGGTCTTTGGAAAGGTGACTTAAAATGTAATTGGCATGTATACTGATGTTCATAGCACCGTTATTCACAACAGCAAGAATATGGAAAGAGCCTAAATGCCTATGAACCAATGAATGGACTGAGCTACTATAACACATTCACACAATAGACACTACGAAGCCCAAAGGAATAACGATTTTGTAAAATATTACATTACATGGAAGAATCTGGAATGCATGGTGCTGAAAGAACTAATTCAGTCTCATAAGGAAAATATTACATAAGACCATTCATTTAACAATTGAAGGATAACTAGTTAAGAGGTGTATAAGTGTCCAAGAGAAGAAGGGGGCAGAAAAAAGGGAAGGATAAAAAAATCACTAGGATAACAGAGTTTAGTAGGTGGATTGGGGGAGGGGGAAGGAATGAGAAAGATTCTACTGGGACTTGGAAAGATTGTGTGATAATTGTTCTTGTTATGTGATGTCGAGTTGCTTGCATGTGCACAACCCTATGCACAATAGTCTTGAACCCTGCCCTATTCTGAATCAATCTCACTGTTTCTGGCACATCTGCCCCTATTATCCCTATTACCTCCAGAAATTCTATGAACCTGGAGAAAGGATGAAAGCTATACAAGCGTCCAGGTCTTTCATTCATAGGGTCGCTATGAGTCACCTATGACTCGACAGCATTTAACAATAGCAACAGCATAGAGAGAGCTCAGTTGGCCTAATGGACAGAAAGTGATGCTACCAAGCCAAAGTTGGGTGACTCTAATCCGCGGCCCTCAGGCCTGTTTTTAATTGCTTTTGGTGAAACATTCTTCTAGGTCGTATAGCCCTGGTCTGTCCACTTGCTGTACAGAGGTAACTCGTGGTCGCTGTGAAGCTGAACACTGTGACAATGATGTGTCAAATGTAAGAATGGTTACCCATGGTGGACAGTGTTTGGTGGCGCTCCCCAATTAAAACAAGCTTAGAAGTAGGAGTGGCATCCACTTCCAAAATAGCTTGCCTCCAGAAACCCGATGAACCTGGAGAAAGGGCAATAGTTATACAAGTGTCCAGGTCTTTCATTCATAGGGTTGCTATGAGTTGCCTACAACTCGACGGCACTTAACAACACAACAATTCATCGAATATTGAATGATATAGTTTCTAGAAAATATTCAGAAAAGGAAAATCTCTGCTATGAGATGCTGGATTGTACACATTGTTTATACTTGGCTGTTAACAAAAAGATTAGTGGTTCGAACCCACCCAGAGTTAATGTCAGGAATCACGCAGCCAACCTAAAGACAGAAGGTATGAATACACCCAGTTTTCTTATGGAGAAAGATGGTCAATCTCCTCCTGGGTGATTTTCAGCTGCTGAAAGCTCACTGAAGGATCTCTGAAGGAGTCAATTCTGACTCAAAGGCAGTGAATTGAGGGACAGGGAGAGAGAATATCTGGCTAGGAAGTATCTTCTTGGGGTGATGAAAATATTCTAAAATTAGACTGTCATACAACTCAGCAAATAGTATTAAAATCACTAAAGTGTGCATTTAAAAATGGGTGAATTCTACTGCATGTCATTTTTTTAACATCCATAAAGCTGTTAAGCAGTTCAGCATATATGCATCCCTAAACCAAACTCGATTACTTCAGATTCAAACCTGGTTTAAAGAATGAAACCTTGCTTAGATGTCATCTAGCATTAACCAAAAAAATTGAGAATTTCCCCACAAAAGATAATTTATATGACTGTGTAGAAATGTAAAAAATAGTTTTTAATACAAATTATGTTATTTCAAACCAGACTATATTTTTTAAACAGAATTTTCTGCTTGAGGAATTTAAGTGAACTGAAAATCCTTAGGGCAATGTACGTATTTCAAATGGCTTGTGGCAGCAACTATCAATTTAATCCAATTTGAGAGTTGCAGACCACATCCTTAC